GTCCTTGGACCCCACTTTCGGTACCGGAGCCAAAGAAACAGCGTCAGCAGTACGACAGACTAGTCTTTGGATTGTCTCCAGGTAAAAAGCGACAGTTGGTTGACAGCGTCAGATGGACCCGGAGGGTCAGTGACTTCAGCTTTTTTTCCTGAAAGGAACCGTTGGCTGGTTGGTAAAATGCAACAGATTTCATCCAGCTTGTTGGATTTTTTGCTTAAAAAGGAAGTACGGGTGGCCGGTCCGATACTTCTCTTAGAATACGGTGAACTGACTTAAGATGGTGTGGGACTGGTTTTATTAATCGGGATGTTTTGATTTACGGTTGAATCAAAGTTGGACTGATTTATAAACACCACAGAGAATATGCAATGCTTCAGAAAGGAAGGTTCCGTTTGGATGAGCAAAAGCAATGTGTCATGCGTTTACATTACGTATATCAAGATGTCTAGTGCAGCTAGATTAAAGTTGTTGTCGTCGTCGTCTTCCTCTGCTTATCCGGGTCCGGGTCGCGAGGGCAGCTTCCCAACTAGGGACCTCCAGACCGTCCTCTCCATCAGCTCCTCCGGCAGGACCACAAGGCGTTCCCAGCCCAGATTGGAGATGTAACCTCTCCAACGTGTCCTTGGTCGACCCGGTGGCCTCCTGCCGGCAGGACATGCCCGAAACACCTCCCCGGGGAGGCGTCCAGGAGGCATCCTGACCAGATGCCCAAACCACCTCAACTGGCTCCTTTCGATCAGGAGGAGCAGCGGTTCTACTCCGAGTCCCTCCCGAATGTCCGAGCTCCTCACCCTATCTCTAAGGCTGAGTCCGGCCACCCTACGGAGGAAACTCATTTCGGCCGCTTGTATCCGCAATCTCGTTTTTTCGGTCATTACCCAAAGCTCATGACCATAGGTGAGGATTGGGACGTAGATCGACCGGTAAATCGAGAGCCTGGCTTTCTGGCTCAGCTCCCTCTTCACCACAACAGATCGGCTCAGCGTCCGCATCACTGCAGATGCTGAACCAATCTGCCTGTCGATCTCCCGATCCCTCCTACCCTCACTCGTGAACAAGACCCCGAGATACTTAAACTCCTCCACTTGAGGTAGGACCTATCCCCCGACCCAGAGTTGGCAAGCCACCCTTTTCCGGTCGAGACCCATAGTCTCAGATTTGGAGGTGCTGATCCTCATCCCAGCCGCTTCACACTCGGCCGCGAACCTACCCAGCAAGAGCTGAAGGTCAGAGCTGGATGAAGCTAGGAGGACCACATCATCCGCAAAAAGCAGAGACGAGATTCTCCTGCCACCAAACTCGACACACTCCACTCCACGGCTGCGCCTAGAAATTCTATCCATAAAGGTAATGAACAGAACCGGTGACAAAGGGCAGCCCTGGCGGAGTCCAACCATCACTGGGAACAGGTCCGACTTACTACCGGCTATGCGGACCAAACTCACGCTCCTCTGGTACAGGGACTGAATGGCCCTTAACAGAAAGCCACCCACGCCATACTCCTGGAGCGTCCCCCACAGGGTGTCCCTGGGGAAATGGTCATAAGCCTTCTCCAAATCCACAAAACACATGTGGATTGGTTAGGAAAACTCCCATGTCCCCTCCATCAACCTTGCAAGGGTATAGAGCTGGTCTACAGTTCCATGGCCAGGATGGAAACCACATTGCTCCTCCTCAATCTGAGATTCAACTATCGATCGGACCCTCCTCTCCAGTACCTTGGAGTATACCTTTCCAGGGAGGCTGAGGAGTGTGATCCCCCTATAGTTAGAACACACCCTCAGGTCACCCTTCTTAAAGATGGGGACCACCACCCCGGTCTGCCACTCCACAGGAACTGCCCCCGATGACCACGCAATGTTGCAGAGACGTGTCAACCATGACAGCCCTACAACATCCATAGCCTTGAGATACCCAGGACGAACATCATCCGCCCCTGGGACTCCACCTCTATGTAGTTGTTTGACTACCTCAGCAACTTCTGCCCCCGAGATTGGACAGTCCATCCCCAGGTCTCCCGGCACTGGTTCCTCCTCGTACTGCACATAGGTGGGATTGAGGAGCTCCTCAAAGTATTCCTTCCACCGTCCGACTATAGCCCCAGTTGACGTCAGCAGCTCCCCATCCCCACTGTAAACAGTGTGAGCGAGTTGCTGCCTTCCTCTCCTGAGGCGCCGGACAATTTGCCAGAACCTCTTTGGAGCCGATCGATAGTCTTTCTCTGTGGCCTCACCAAACTCCTCCCACGCCTGAGATTTTGCCTCAACAACTGCCACTGCTGCACCCCGCTTGGCTATCCGGTACCTGTCTGCTGCCTCCGAAGACCCACAGACCAGCCACGCCCTGTAGGCCTCCTTCTTCAGCCTGACGGCTCCCCGAACCTCTGGCGTTCACTCGCGGGTACAGGGGTTGCCACCACGACTGGCACCAGCCACCTTGCGACCACAGCTAGCAACAGCTGCCTCAACAATCACAGAGTGGAACAAGGCCCACTCGGAGTCAATGTCCCCCACTGCTCTCGGGACGCGGTCAAAGCTCTGCCGGAGATGGGAGTTGATGACCGTCTTAACAGGTTCTTCTGCCAGGCATTCCCAGCAGACTCTCACTATGCGTTTCGGTCTGACAGGTCTACGCGGCATCTTCCCCTGCCATCTGATCCAACTCACCACCAGGTGGTGATCAGTTGACAGCTCCGCTCCTCTCTTCACCCGGGTGTCCAAAACATACGGCCGCAGGTCAGATGATACGACTACAAAGTCTATCATCGACCTGCGGCCTAGGCTGCCCTGGTACCAAGTGTACAGATGGGAATCCTTATGTTCGAACATGGTGTTCGTTATGGCCAAACTGCGGCTTGCACAGAAGTCCAGTAACGAAACACCACTTGAGTTCAGATCAGGCGGGCCGTTCCTCCCAATCACACCCCTCCAGGTCACACTGTCATTGCCCACATGTCCCCCAGCAGGAATTCCAAAAAGGGTGGGCACTCTGAACTGATAATTTGCCCATAAGCACAAACAACAGTCAGGACCCATTCCCCGACCCGAAGGCGCAGGGAAGCTACCCTCTCGTCCCGCGGGGTAAACCCCAACATGCAGGCAGAGAGTCTTGGGGCTAACAAAAAGCCAACCCCAGCCCTCCGCCTCTCACCTGGAGCAACTCCAACAAAGGAGAGTGTCCAACCCCTCTCAAGGACTTGGGTTCCAGAGCCAATGCTATGTGTCAAGGTGAGTCCGACTATATCTAGCCGGTACCACTCAACCTCTGCCACAAGCTCCTGCGGGTAACCTCCGGGCCGGGTACTCCGACTCTTTGAATTTACTTCCATGAAAGATCCTGTGAACCATTCTTTGTCTCACCCTTCACCTAAGATCAATTTGTCATGGGAGACCCTACCAGGGGCACAAAGTGCCCCAAACAACATAGCTCCTAGGATCATTAAGGCACTCAAACTCCTCCACCACAATACGGTGACGGTTCAAGGAAGATTAGATTAAAGTCATATTACTTATTAAAACTTACTAATCATAACATTGTCATTTTACAGACTGGTCAAAATCTTATTGACTAACACTTTGATTAGTTTTATTAAGAATAAGAGTTCTTTGATTTATTAAAAAGAAAGAGTCCTATGTCTTCATTCTTCTCTTGGGCTGGAAAGGAAGCAGATTAGAAGCAAATGCATGACCTTGGGTCAGTCTCATGCAGATTAGTTCTGTGTCAGAGACATCTGAGGAGAGGGGGGCAATGACTTTTAGGTGGAATAGCTCCATCATCACGTTACAGATGAGAACTTCAGTCTTGTCTTGATTTAAAAGCAAAAAGTTTTGAGTCATCCAATTTTTTATGTCTTCAATACAAGCCTGTAATCTAACTAACCGATTAGGTTCATCAGGGTTAATGGATAGATATAACTAAGTATCGTCAGCATAACAGTGGAATTTATCCCATGCTGTCTAATGATTTTACCAATTGGGGGCATATATATAGTAAAAAGAATTGGTCTAAGCACTGAACCCTGTGGTACTCCACAAGTAACCCTGGAGTATGAAGATTTGTCATGTACGTTTACAAAATGATATCTATCAGACAGGTAGGATTTAAACCAGCCTAGCGCTGTTCCTTTGATCCCTACATGTTCAAGCCTTTCTAAAAGAGCATTGTGATCAACTGTGTCAAAAGCAGCGCTGAGATCTAACAAGAGTAGAACAGACACAAGATTCTTATCTGAGGCCAGAATATCATTTGTAACTTTCACTAATGTAGTTTCAGTGCTGTGAAACTCTCTTAAAACCAGACTGAAATTCCTTAAACAGATCATTAGTGTTTAAATGCTCACATACTTGGATGGCCACTATTTTCTCAAGGACTTAAGATAAAAATCTAAGATTAGATATTGGTCTACAATTGATTGGGTCATCTGGATCCAGAGGCGGCTTCTTAAGTAAAGGTTTGATTACAGCAACCTTAAAATCCTGTGGTACATGTCCATTTACTAAGGATAGATTGATTATATCCAGAAGGGGGCAGTAACCAAAGGAAATGCATCTTTAAATAATTTGGTTGGGATTGGATCTAAAACGCAAGTTGAAGGTTTAGATCACACAGACACAAGGCCTGCGGGCCAGATCCCCTGCAACGTGGACCTCAAGGGATAAACCATCAATCCTGCTCAAATTTCCTCACAGGGTCACACCCATTAGGACAGAGGGAGGGTTAAGTAAATTTGGTGATTTCTGGAAAAAAATAAAAGCCCAAAACAAATGCAAAATGGGTCATTAGAACACCATAACGTGCAACTACATCAACCAAACTGACACCACCTACTCACAGTTCTCTGGACATAACGTACAAAAAGTGAGTTAAATTTCAGTTTTTTCTTTTTTGCTGTAGGTCTTTTTAACCAAACCTGGTGACTTAAATCTTAAAAACATACATATTTTATCATCTTGGTTAGGACTGAAGCGTAGGATGGAATCTGTGAAAAAATGAGACTTGACTAGTCAAGACAGCTTTATTTATGTAGCACATTTGCCAAACAAAGGCGACTCAATATGCTTTACAGTAATAAAGGACAAAACAAAAATTAACAATACAATTAGATATAAAACACTGAAGACTAAAACTAGAAAAAACACACAGTCCTGTAGGCTGCACAAGTAGACGAAGGACAGAAAAGATAAATTTTACAGGTTTCCAGCTAATTAAATAAACTAAAAGAAGTACCAGTTCTACTGGCTAAACCACCCACATAGTGTGACAGTCTTGAGACAGAATTAAAGTAAACATTCTGCCTCACATGTCCAGAAACAAACAAATTAGAGCCGCCATCTAAGGACTTTAATTAAATAATTATGCTCCTTACACTCCTTCGGTTCAGCTGTGAGAACGCCAGACAGCCAGTTCTGAGGACTGTCGTCTAGCTAGCTATTTCAAACTCATCCGGAAGCTTTGTGCTAAACATCATTAGCTTAGAGATGTTTATTTTTTGTTCAACTACACCAAGATGTGTTAGATAATCTAAAGTAGTCATATCTAAATCCCTAGGTTATATTTTGTTAGCATAAATCATGAAGATACAGCTCTGGGTAACGGCTGGAGATGGGGTTCTAGCCCTCCAGCTAGTGTGGACTTAAATGTTATTGTTTCCCTGGATGTAAACAATAACATGCAATGGGTCTATATTTTATTGTGTTTGGTGAAAACTGAAGCAAAGGATGGAAACCGTGTATATAAAAAAAGAGACATAAAATATTATATAATTTTAGATACACCTTTTGCTAAAAGACATTTTTGTGCTAAGGATCCCAAACATTGCTTTTACTAAAAGAAGAGAAGTTGTGCTTTTAGCTCCACTTTTAAGTCAACTAAATGTTATATTAAACCCCATTTTGTTGCTGGAAGCCTATTAAGAAGACACTATCTGTAACCCCCTCAACCCTGACCCTAACCCAACCACCATAACATAACTCATTAACTGCCAATTTTTTTTTTACTATGTGGGCGGAACGAGCCCCCGCACTGTGAGAAGAAACATCCCAGCTCTAAAGCCTATCTTCATCTGCATATGTCACACATCATGTGATCAGGAAGCAGAAAATCCATGTTTTAGCAGATCGTTTTGGGCCGTTACTGTAATAAAAGTGAGGATCAAACAGGAAAAGCTTTTGCCGATCACAATTCAACAACGGATTATGAAAAAACGAATAACACTTGAAATGCGCGGATTCTTCCTGATTTTAGAGGTGAGTCTACTCTTTATTTTGTTAGTTTTGGCGTTGGCATCACCCTAGCGTCCAACGTTCTGTGACTCTTAAAATACAGTGAAAACACTGAAAAATGCTGGCAACGAAGGGCTTTTCTGATCAGGAAACGGCTGGCAGTGAGTGAGTTAATAGCAGTGTAAAAACACAGAAGTCTAAAATACTTGACACAACTGAACATAGGTCAGTCGGGAGAACAAACACCCAACCCCCACCCCCGCAGCAGAGATCTGACAAAGTACATGTTTGAAAAGTGCAGAGCTTTTTTACCCTAATAGCCATACACTAGTGAAATCTTACTTGAACACAAAAATACTGCTTGTTTGCAATCATTTATGTTTGTACTGTCCCCTATTGCCAGGGAAAGTACACAGTCACTTTAAATTTGTCCACAGAGCTCACAAACAGAAGGTTTTTATCCTGTGAGGACACTCGTGTGCTTGAGTAAAATTTTCTTTTCTCCATATCTTTCTCCACAGAACTCAAGCATATGGTTTATGTCCATTGTGGACTCTCATGTGAACTTTTAAATCCGACTTTTGGGTAAATCTTTGTCCACAGAACTCACAGAGAAAAGGTTTCTGTCCAGTGTGGACTCTCATGTGAGTGTGTAAATTCGACTTTTGGGTAAACCTTTTTCCACAGAGCTCACAGGCAAAAGGTTTATGTCCTGAGTGGACTCTCATGTGACGGTTTAAACCATACTTTTCGGTAAATTTTTGTCCACAGAACTCGCAAGCAAACTGTTTCTCTCCTGTGTGGACTGTCATGTGGCTATTTAAACCTGACTTATGGTTAAATCTTTGTCCACAGAGCACGCAGACAAAAGGTTTATGTCCTGTGTGGATTCTCATGTGATCGTTTAATGTTGACTTACGGGAAAATTTTTGTCCACAGAGCTCACAGGCAAAAGGTTTATGTCCTATGTGGACTCTCATGTGAGTGTTTAAAGACGACTTTTGGGTAAATCTTTTTCCACAGAGCTCACAGGCAAAAGGTTTATGTCCTGTGTGGACTATCATGTGAATGCTTAAAGTCGACTTTTGGGTAAATCTTTTTCCACAGAGCTCACAGACAAAAGGTTTATGTCCTGTGTGGACTCTCATGTGATCGTTTAAAGTTGATTTTCTCCTAAATATATTTCCACAGTCACCACAACAAAATGATTTTAGTTCTTTCTGGACTTTCCTATGTGAGTCTACATGTTGCTTCAGTCTAACCGATTTCTTATTAACCAAAGACCTTATTGCTGAATGACTGGTTACTCTCACATGTTTCTGGAGAGACTGCTTGTCATGAAATTGTTCACCACACTCAGGACAGCTCAAGGATATGTTGACAGTATTAACATCTAACTCAGAAGACCTTTTCTCATTCCAGTCATGGTCTTCGTCTCCAGTTTCAGACCCAGAGTCTGACATCCCAGGGTCTAGATTCATATCATCATCTCCACTAACTTCAGTCTCTGAAGAATCAGATGTTTGTTCATGAGGGTTCAGATCTAGGTTCCTGCTAGTTCCTGATACTCCACATGTTTCTGCTGTCATCTGGTCAGATGAGCTGCTAGTTGGAACAACTCTGTCTTCTATTTGCTGCTGATGAAGCTGTGAAAACAGACGTTTCTCTTCATCATCCTCACTCTTTATAGAAACAGCACTGAATTGAAAGCTGGCAGAATCAGTCTCCTCCTTCAAATGGAGATGCTCTCCCTTAAGACTGGTCCAGAGTTCCTCCTTTTCCTCCTTTATGTGGAGGTGTTCTGGGTCCTGCTGGTCCACACCAGCACTCTGTTCTTCAGGATCTTCTTTAACCTGCACCATCTGTTGAACATCTGTAGGAAACAGAAACACAACGTGAATTACCGACTGCTGTAACTTTAAATTCACACATATGAGAGTTATGTTATTACAGGGGTCTCCAACATGTTGGTCGCGAGCTACCGGTAGCTCTTGAAAGTCGCTGGCCTGGAAGCAGCCAGTGAGCCACCCAGCCTGACTTGTACTTAACAAGGGACGGATTTCTAATTTGATGGCAAGCCTTCCCCGGTTCTCGTAATATCTAATGTAAAATTAGCATTTTGTGGAAGTAAAATAAATCTGATTATTGCACAAATCTATCGGCAAACGTGTTCTACTGGAAATTTGTGGAATGGATTAATTATTCAGGTTGCAGCGCGGGTCCCCATTTCTGATATCAGCGGCTGCAGCTGCAGGTGCTTCTAAAGACGAGGTGACGTCAGTCATACAGACCTGGTTTCAGAAAAACATCCTCAATAAAATATTGTGGGCGACTGTAAAGTCATATCTGCGTAAATATGTCATTAAAGCAAATTAAATGCCCTTCGCTTATTAACACGATTAACAGGCTTCCAAAGTCTGGACATCTCCTGTGATTTAGTTTCAATAAAACTTCCCTCAACAGTTTCAGCTGATTGTCCCATTTAGGAATAAAAAACGATTTTTAAATCTCTCTCTCTGCTCGGTGTTGCTCATCCGTCAGACCCGCTGATCCAGAGGCAGAGAAAAAGGTTAAACCTCCAACCCTGCTTTAATGTTGTCAACAATAAATGCAGCAAAATGTTTATTGTTGACAACAGGTTAATCACTCACAGAAAGTAGATTTGTTATTCATTATCTGAAAGTATCTGATTAGCTAACAAAGAAAATATTTTGTTTAGTTTGATTTTCAGAATCTCACTATCTTCCTTGTACTTTTTTTTTATAATATTGATGTATTGAAATACAGAGAAATCAACTAACATAAGCATATTCACACTTGAAAACATCGTATGGCGGTAGCTCTTCTGTAATTTCATTAAGTAGCTCACAAGCCAAAAAAGGTTGGAGATGCCTGGATTATGCTTTAAGCTGGCAAAATCAGAACTGAATCAAATTGCAGGAAATCTCTTTTGAATTGAAACTTTTTCTTGGGAGGTGTCGAAGGGTAAATATTGTTGCTTTTAAGCTTAATATATTACCTTTACTTATGACCAATGAGCTGTGATATTCTATATAAATATAGAGTGTCACTCTGATTGGTCTTTGAATGTTTAAATCAGAAGAATTAGGATTATTTGCTTTTTCAGTGACACTTTGTATTAATTCAGACAAAGTCAGGTTTATAAAAAGTAAGACATTTATTTTCTAAACAAATTAAAACATAACAACTGTAAACAAGATGAATGTGATGGATGAATCTAAGAGGATGAGATGTTATATATGATGATTGAATGGTGTGTGTTTATCAGAACCTTGTACCTAGAAGAAAGAGTTCTGGGTGTGAAAAGAATTTGGTCTGCATTAAACTAACAAAGTTGGTTCTCATCAAAACCACATCAGATGCAATTAGGGTTGTCACGGTATGAAAATTTAAAGAGCAAGTAACGTCTAAATTAACTTTTTTTTGCTGATGAACTGTATAAATGAGTGTCTAATAGTGTTTTAAATGTGTGCATTCTTTATTTTAGCATTTTGGTGCATTTTCTTTAAAAATTAAAAATTCTGTCTAAAAACCACAGTAATGCGCCACCTTCAGCTGAAAACATAGAATTTGAGTCATTTTGAATAAATTTTAGCCAATGGCTAAAGAGTAAAGTACTACGTAAACCAGTAGAGTACTACGTAGCAGCTCCGTGCCAAAGTTATAAAAGCAACGAGCGTCTCGGCCACGCCCTGTGGCGAGTGGGAGTTGGATTTGCAAGCGAGTGTAGGAGGTCAGCGGTAGTTCAGCATTAGCATATAGCATTAGCATATCCTAGTCTTTAGCATATCTTTTAGTGTTATAAATACTTATTTAGTGTTAGCTTGGCTGTTGTATATTATAGTTTAGTTAGTGTTTGGCTGTTAGTGTAATTGGGAAAGTATTTCGGGTTTAGTGCTCCATATCGTCTTAGTATTGGTGAGTAGGTGTAGTGTAGTATGGTTGCGGTGACTCTGTGGGCATTTTACCCGCGATTCTGCACGTCTCCGTTTGAAGAGGGAGGCTGTGCCCACCGTGGCTCTTCCGCGATTTAGATGCAGCCCACCGACTCTGCTTCCCCACCACGGCGGGCTCCAGTCTGAGGTGAGTCAGCTAAATAAACGTTTTAACATCTTCTAAAGACAATTCCCTACCTAAATGCAAAGTCTGAGAGACGTGGTTCACTTCCTTTAGCTAGTCAGTCGGCAATTCTGCAACAGTGACTAACTGACGCAGCACTTGACAGACAGCATTACAGCGTGAAATCCAGCTTGTGACCCGGTTCTGTGAGGAATTCTGTTCAGGAGGTCGCATTTCAGGCTCTCCACATCATATGTGACTGACTTTTACGTTATAACAACGATCACACACTAGGAATGTTATAAAGCGCCTATATAGGAGATTCTTTTGTATATTATCTGACTATAAACTCCAACAATGTGCTTCTATTTTTTTTTTCAGGCTAAATCTACCCAAGACACTGGCTGTCAGACTGATTTAGCTGCATGAATGTACTTGTCCAGGCTGATGTGAAACCTTCCCTGTAGCAAAGGTGAATTATTTTTAATAATCTTCTATGCAAACATTTTATTATCACCTTCTAGTTTTAATTTGTTTTACAGATTATTTTTACACGTGATTTTATGCTCTTTTAAACATTTATAAATGTGCTGCTTCTTTGTTTTTACATAGCCAGCCAGAATGGAGTTCACAGCCGCAGTGTGTCTGGTGACCCACGGGGACCATGATGAAAATTCATCTTCCAGAAGGTCCCAGAGCGTCCAGACCCCCTGAAAAGACCAAGGTGTGAGGTGTCTGCTGTTGATTCCAGCTTCCACCTCAGTGACAGTGCAAGCTCAGTGAACTGTTCAAGGTAAAAAAAAAATTAAAACATTTCAGAATTTTTAAGATATTAACAATTAAATAAGTATGTGATTACATCATGACAGAGGCTACTGATTCTGCCCGTGACACTTGGTGGTGACGTGTAAGCTGATTCTCCTGGAAAATAACTTTTACATTAAATATTTTGTTTTTGCTATCAAAAGTAAATTAACTAATAACCTGCATTATTGCAGGACATTCAGCAAAATATGGACTCTACACCATGAGGCATGCACACATTAATATTCTATAAGAGCACATAAGGTGAGCAACACCACATATTGTACACTGTCCTGAATTTGTTTTCTTTCTGCATCTCATTAGCCTGGCTGATCACCTGATAACTCCTGTCATCTGGTTATGACAGCATGAGGATGTCCTCACACACCTGTAACCTATCAGCTCATCTGGCAGAATAGAGAGATAAGAGACAACACCACATCTCCTGTTCCTGGAAAGCCTTCAGCCTTCCTTCGATGACTGAGAACCTCCATCAGCTCTGTCTCCTGTCTGCCTACAATTATTATAATAAATATTGTGTTTGACAAGTTTTTTGTGCTGCCAAATATCTCATTTAGATTCCAGTTTTGATATTTTAATGGATATTTATAAATTACATTGAATATCACATTTTTGTTGCATGTTTAACTAGCTATTGTGATTAATTAAACTAGCACCTCACTGTTAAAAGCTCGTTCTAATTTCAAGCATGTTTAAGTATTTATGGACATGAACAAAAACAGGAAATATATAAACTGAGATTTATTTAATTAATATAACAAATAAGGGGGAAAGAGTCATTGAAAGGCACATTCTTCTGGAAGTTCCTGATCCTGAGGACACCAGCAGAGGAGACCAGCTGCAGACACCAGAGACCAGCTGCAGACACCAGAGGACCTAGAACCGAGAGAGCAGCTGTTATTAGTAAATAAATAAAGAAATCAGGGCAGTTTTAGTGGGCTGAACACATTACAGAATAATTTTCTCATGGGGTATTTTCATAACTTTATATGCAGCAGACTGTACCTTGAGCCCAGGGCTACCGGAGAGCTATCCAGCATGTTTCAGTGGATTTTCCTGCTTTAACAGGTTAGATTAGCTGTTAAGCAGCTCAGCTATTTGTTGCTGATTAAAACCAGGTGTGCTGAAGCAGATAAACCTCTAAAACATGCTGAATACTAGCTTTTTGGGGCCGTGGAGACAAACCCTGCAGCTAATCCAATGCTATGGCTAACGGCTACTTACCTTTCAGAGGTGATTCTGTTGGGTCGGTTCTGGGAGTTTCAGGCAACTCACAAGCTCAAAACAATAAGACTCAGGTCCGCTTGTCCCCTCCAAATAGACTTGGTCCCTTTCTTCTCGAGTGTCTGTAAGGAGGGGGAGAAACGTCCTCCACTTCTATCAACTGCTCAGAGTGAAGGGAGCTAGCTTCGTCTAGTTAGCCATCGTCTTCGTCACTGCCGCGGCTCCGCCCTCTCGGTCCTCCAGGCAACGCCTACTAATGTTGCATTTTTTAAAATTGATACGTGGGTGGAGAAGGACTCCGAGGCTCAATTGACCCGCTCTTTAACCTCACGGTTATTGTGACCAAAATTATCACGGTTTTCGGTATTATCGCGGTATTTTTTAAACGGTGTTGCATATGTTCAGAAAGCATTGATAGTCCTGTTCTACACAAACTGAAATAGTTTTGAAAAGGCTTAACAGTGTTTATTAAACCTAAAATAACACAAAGCCTTAGCAAAAGTGCAACTTTTCACAAGTAAAGGAACAAATAGCTTCTTTTTCTGGAACATGTTACAGTAGTCAGTGCAGGTTTAAATTATACAAATCCAAACATTCAAAACATAAACAATATGTAAACAAATCAAAGAAACACCACTTGTTTTCTCATATACTTGTTTTCTTCATTATCAAAATGAAAATCTAAAACTCCAGTCCACACTTGACTTGAGCACTGTACAAGTCAACCTTAAAAAATATGTATTTAAAATAAATTGCCACTTTAAACAAATTACTAAAATAACTACTACACTATGTAATCAAATCCAAATGTTCAAGTATAAATGGCATTGAATAAGTAAACAAATCAATGACAAGGAACTAATTGTATATTTCTCTTCATCATCAACAAATAAGATGCTTCATCCAGCAACAGGGTGTCCGTGACACGGTTTAAATGCTGGCAGAGGACGCTGCGGCTGCAGTATATAGTGACTCGTTGCATTCTCCCTCAACCAAAAGTCCTCACGTCATGCATTTAAGCTAAAATGCTAATGTCAACTTACCTTGCACTGGCTGTAGAGACGTGGGTGATGGTCACGCAGATGTGCCATTAGATTCGAAGTGTTGCTGCCTTTTGCAGACACTTGTTTCCTGCACGTTCTGCAAACGGGATAGCAGTCTTCTATTAACTGTCCCTCAGCATTTTTCAGAAATCCAAAATATGCCCATACTTCCGAGTTAGTCTTCTTTGAGGGCTGATGGATGTCCTGGGCGCTGCCGTCTCCTCCTTCGGCCATTATTTCAGCTTCAAAGTTTTGGTAACGTTGCAAACTAAAAAGTGCGTGTGCGCGCCACGGGAACTTCAGCTGAAGCGACGGTGGCTGGTAAGGGTCACCGCGCTGAAACCGCGGCCACGGTAAACCCACCGAGATAATTTAGATTTTTAAAAACTGGACGGTTATTTTTATTGTCAAATTTTTTACCGGGGTTTACCGCTATACCGGTTACCGTGACAACCCTAGATGCAATCATGCTGTCTACCTCACCCTTTTGGAGATGCTCTTCGTGGATCCGGAGGTCAGGAAGGTCGGATGACCTCTGAGCACCGAGGTTCAGTAGAGCACAACATGTTGGAACTAGTTTGCGTCTAGAAGGACTCTTAAGTCTCAATTTTGGCACGCAGCCAGACCCATGCCAAGAGGACTATGGCGGTTTTGCGCATAGCGTACTTTAATGTCGAAGCTCTGAAGAGCAAGCAGTCATGACGCGATGTGTGCATTGGTCACCACACCATCTCTGATGCGTTGACTGTTAAGGAAGGTCATCAGCTGATGTTGAGTTTCAATGATGATTTTCTGTCCACCGATGTAGCTGGAAAAGTGTTTAACTGCCCACATGGTGGAAAGCAAAGCTTTTTCAAAGTCAGAGTATTTTAACTCAGGATGGGACAAGAGCTTACTAGCATAGGCTACGACACGCATCATATACTTGATAGAGACCGGCACTCAAGCAGTTAGATGAGAACCTGACCTCAAGGTGGAACTCTTTGTCACAATCAGGAAGCACCAGGCACAGAGCTGAGCATTACGTGGCCTTCAGATCATCCATGGCCTGTTGCTGCTGCTCAGTCCACTCGAAAGGCACATCCTTTTTCAGCAGGGCAGTCCGAAGTCTTGCCATCTCAGCGCAGTGTTCTACGAACTGGCGAGAGTAGTTGCACACACCTAGAAAACTCAGAAGTTCAGAGACATTCGTAGGAGGTTTGATGGTGGCAACTCCTTGAATTCTGCCCACGTTGAGGCTGCACTCCCTGTGGTCCCACAAGGAGGCCAACAAACGGAGCCTTTGACCTGCACCACTGACCTTTGGCGAGAGAAATCTTTGCACCAGCAGCCGCAAGCTGACCCATGACATGGTCCAGCTCGGACAGGTGGTCATCCAAGTTATGCTTATGAACAAGAATGTTGTCGACATAGATGATGGTACCTCTCTCTCGAGCATCAGGGCAGGCTTTGTCCAAGAAGATGTTGATCTCAGCTGGTGAGTTGGAATAGCCAAAAGGACATTGAGTGAAGGTGTACTGGCGGTTGGCGAAGGTGAAGGCCAATTTATATTGGTCAGATTTATGGACAGGGATTGTCCAGAATCCAGACGCAATGTCAAGAGTGAAGAAGTATTTAGCGTCTTTCACCTTTGGAAGTTCTTGTTCCAGGCACACCATCGGCCACCTAGACAAAGGAACTTGTTGGTTGATTTTCCTGTAGTCAATGGTCAGTCGCCACTTACCATTAGGTTTCTTTACCGGCCACAATACAGCAGAGTAGGTGCTGTTGCAGGGTTGAATGATACCCTTCACCAAGAGGCTGTCAATGATTTCCTGGACTGGTCCATTGGATGCCAGGGGAATCTTGTATTGACGCACGAAAGACGGCGCTGCATGTGGCGGTGTAGGAATTCTGACCTCATGGATAGTGGTTAGCCCACAGTCCAAGGAGTCAACTGAAAGAGAGTCCTTGTATTTTAACAGCAGTTGCCATAGTTTGTCTCGCTCAACTTCATTGGTAAGAGGATCGGCTTGGTCCACGACCCGTTCAATGTGAGAGAAAACATCAGAGGGTGGCTATGATGGAAGCTATGGTTGTGGTGGTGGAGGCTCTGAGCTCGGCGGGGAGCACGTTGTTTCCCCATGCTCAGGGTCACCAACCGCAAGGCAGTGAAGGTCAAGGTCAGGAGGCAAAACGATAGCGGGTCTTCAACACCTGCCCAAAGTTCCCCCCTTTCCAGATCGATAAAAGCTTCAAGGCACTTCAAAAGGTCAACGCCAAGGATCAAAGGCATGGCACCGTGCTCACAAACGTACACGGGGTGTTTCAACGTCATAGGACCTATCGTGAAGTGGAAAAAAGACCTGGATGACAAGATCATGTTAAGAGGAGAGAAAACACGAACAGTTACTGCTTATGAAGTTAGTTCTGGAGGTCGAACTCCTCCTCCTGCAGCAAGGAAAATTAATGATGCTTCGGTGTGTAAGTTTGCCAAAAAAATGTCGGACTTCGTAATTTTCTCTAGCCCCCTGCCTGATCGGACCAGTGACGACATGTTTAGCCGCATGCTGTCCTTCAACCGCTGGTTGTCTAGGTGGTGTCCTGAAAAAAATGTGGGCAACATTGATAATTGGAAAACTTTTTTGGGAAAACCTGGTCTGATGCAAAGAGACGGCATCCATCCCTCTTTGGATGGAGCAGCTCTTCTTTCTAGGAACATGGCCAATTTTATAAGTCCTCCATGACAACCCAGGGTCCAGACCAGGAAGCAGAGTCGTAGTTTAACACACCCCTCTGCAGCTTCTGTACTGTTACCCACCCACTATCCCATTGAGACAGTGTCCTGCCCATGACCAAAACCACAAAAATTAAATATCAGGCTTAACCCTTTAAGCGCCTAAGTCGCAGAATTGAGACAAGCAGCAATGTTGGATTTAATAAGCCACAGCAGCAGAAATGAGCCATCATGCAGTTAATACGTTACACTGCGGGGTGGTAGACACCTGTAACTTCAATCTAAGCAGCATTTGTGGGTGTGTTACTATTCAAATTTACGGAGAATTTAGAGCTTGAACCCCGTCCACCAGTTGCAGAGCCGCGGGGTTTGTCAGAGCGAGTGAGAGCGAGCGAGTGGTAGAGGGAAAAAACACAATGCCGAGAGGAATGTTCAGTGCTGACGAAGCTCTTCATGTAGTACTGGCAAATTCGGATTCGGAGGAAGAATATTTCCTTTTCGAGGATGATCTGCGGTCTTCCAGCGAGACGGAAAGCGTGGCTTC